TTGCCACAGAATATCCTGAGCTGGAAGGGACCCACAAGGATCAGCACAGTTCAGCCCTGCAGGTCACCCCTGCCATTGCCCTGTGCCTGATCCTGCAGTGCAAACCTCGTGAATTTTCCTCTGTTCCTGCAGGGCACTCAGAGGCCTCATGGGTGTGATTGTGCATTTCATTTCCCTTTTTCACTTCTGGCTGTGTTACTCAACTTCTACAGAGTTCAAGAGCTCCAGGTCTCCATCCTCCTCCTCCTCCCTGGGCTGTGCAGCTCTCCCAGGGCTTTGCCCAGCAGGGATGAATGTGGGCACCCTTCATGAGGCAGTGCAAACAGGAAAAGGAGGAGTTAAACACATGGCTGGGACTAATCCCTGGGTTCCTGGGTGAGAAATGTGTCCTCCAGGAAGGCTGAGGGCTTCCAGGCATAATCCAATGGGAAAAATGGATGTTCAGGACTCGGGCTGCTGCAGGGGAGGTGTTTGAGACTTGTTTGGGTTCTGGGGACAGCAGTGGCCAGACTCAGGTCATCCCTGGATGGTTCTTAGCCATGCTGAGGGACATCAGCTGGGCTTTGTCTCCTCTCAGTGATTCCCATGTGCTGGGTGGTGCTGGTGGCTGTGTAGGGCCGTCCCTGCCACCCTGGGCTCCCTGCTGCCTGTTTTATTTGGGGGGCACCTGCAGAGCCCCAGCTGGGGCTGTTTGGAGCTGGGGACGTGCTCCACTCCATGCTGGGATCAGTGCAGCATTCACACTGGCCTGAGCAATGAGTTAATGAAGCAGCACAAATGCAGTTGCCAGGCCAACCCAAAGCCAAACGTGTGTCTGGAGATGCAGGCTGACAGCTTTTGAGGAGAAGTGGCACCCCAGCAAACCTCACCCTCATTCCATGGGTTCATGGATTTCCATGATCCAGCTCTCCAGAGCTGCCCTGGGATTTGGGATCCCTCTCGGCTTTCTGTGGTTGAGATGACTTTGGAGGTATTAGAAAGTTGTTTTTATTTTAGTTTTGCGACTGAAGAAGAAGTTGAGATGTGTTGGTTTTGCTTCTCAAGGTTGTTTATTTTTTCTTATCTATTCCATTCTTTCTCTGACCTGCTGAGATCCAGCAGGTTGGGTTGTGGCACAGTCCCTGCCCTTGGGGTGGTGTTAACTTTTGATATTAAGAACTACGTGTGCTTTATTTACAATAATTTTCTAATACTTATCACTTATGTTAGACTTTGACTTGTGGAAGGCTTTAAAGACTTTAAATGTCTTTAAACCAATCCAAAAGTGTCACCATCACAGCAGAAGATGGAGGACAAGAAGGAGAAGAAGGACAGGACATGCCCAGATTGTTCCATCTTGCTTCTTGAACCTCCATTCTAAAACTCTAAAATTCTACTTTTTCACCTTGTGATAAATTCACTATCATTCTACTCAAACCCTTGTGGCTTGTAACTCCTCACACACAGTTGGAAATTGTTTCCATGGGCTAAAATCAAAGGCCCAGGTGTCTTTGACTCTGTGCCAAGGTCCTGAGCCCCCTGCCAGGGTCTGGAGTGCTCCAGGGCAGCCAGAGCAATGTCCTGGGTTCTGACAGATCCTGAGACACAGCAGAGGGAAAAGCCTGGTTTTATCTCCAAGATGAAAAACTTGGCTGTGAGCATCACCAAATGATGTTAGATCCTAGAAACCCTCTCTGGCCAGATGTTTGAGGACATGGACAGCAACATCTGGCCTGCTGATGTGGAGGGAGAGAGCAGCACTTCTGGGAGGGCACTGAGCATGGCTTGAGACCCTTGGGGAGGATCTCCCATTTCCCCTGGGAGTGCAGAGCACTCTCCCTGAGCTGGGCTTTAGTGGCTGCTGCAGGAACACCAGGAGGGAAACGTCATGGCCACATCTCCCTAAATGTGACACCAGTCTCCAGCTTTTGCTCAAGTTTGTGCCCTTTGGCAGGACCCTGGAGCTCTCTGGGGGATGCTCTGTGGATCTGCCTCTTTCCTGACCCTGCCTGGGCTCTGAGGTGGCTCTGGCCGGCTCAGAAGAGCCAAAATTTTGTGGAAGAGCCAAAATTTGGAGTCAGATCTGACCCAGGGCAGGAGAGGACATCAATGTAGGGAATGAGTGTGCCCAAGGACCAGGGATTCAGGGACTGACACCCTAAACCTACCAAGCTCAGAGAAATCACCCTTTGAGGTGCCCAGCTCCTGCTCTGAGAGGCCCATCCTGGTTCCAGAGTGGGGCTGGGGATGTGGCAGCACTGTGTGCAGCCAGGCAGGTGCTCCCCCCTCAAACATCCTCCATCCACCCAGCCCATCCCTGTGCAGCAGGGACAGGGTGTCCCACAGAGCCACAGTGTCCCTGCAGCTGCTGCCCCTGCCAGGACACACTGGGGGGCTGAAGCAGCACTTTGGGAGCCTTTTTTGGGATCTCCTGTCCTTGGGCCCTCTTCCCTCATGGGAACACCATCCCCTGGGCCACAGGATGCTCCTCCCAGCCTCCTTCTGTCCTTCCTTCCCTGTCCTTCCTTGCCCAGCTGGAATTCTTCCTGGCTGCTGCTTTCTGCTGACCCCTTCCATGGTGCACCAGCAGGGCTTTACTGGGCTTTACTGGGATGGAACTGGCGGATGGGATGGGGTGAAGATGGAGCCTGTGGGGTGGGGTGATGGAGCTGATGGGGTGAGGATGGAGATGATGGGGTGGGGTGAGGATGGAGCTGATGGGATGAGGATGGAGCTGATGGGGTGGGGTGAGGATGGAGCTGATGGGATGAGGATGGAGCTGATAGGATGGGGTGAGGATGGAGCTGTGGGATGGGATGAAGATGGAGTTGATGGGGTGGGGTGATGATGGAGCTGATGAGATGGGTTGAGGATGGAGCCTGTGGGATAGGATGAAGATGGAGCTGTGGGATGGGATGGGATGAAGATGGAGCTGTGGGATGGGATGAAGATGGAGCTGTGGGATGGGATGAAGATGGAGCTGTGGGATGGGATGAAGATGGAGCTGTGGGATGGGATGAAGATGGAGCTGTGGGATGGGATGATGATGGAGCTGTGGGATAGGATGAGGATGGAGCTGTGGGATAGGATGAGGATGGAGCTGTGGGATGGGATGAGGATGGAGCTGTGGGATGGGATGAAGATGGAGCTGTGGGATGGGATAGGATGAGGATGGAGCTGTGGGATAGGATGAGGATGGAGCTGATGGGATGGGGTGAGGATGGAGCTGTGGGATGGGATGAGGATGGAGCTGATGGGATGGGGTGAGGATGGAGCTGTGGGATGGGATAGGATGAGGATGGAGCCTGTGGGATGGGATGAAGATGGAGCTGATGGGGTGGGTGAGGATGGAGCCTGTGGGATGGGATGAAGATGGAGCTGTGGGATGGGATAGGATGAGGATGGAGCTGTGGGATGGGATGAAGATGGAGCTGTGGGATGGGGTGAGGATGGAGCTGTGGGATGGGATAGGATGAGGATGGAGCTGTGGGATGGGATAGGATGAGGATGGAGCTGTGGGATGGGATGAAGATAGATGGAGCCTCGGTGCTGCCCTGCAGACAGTGCTGTTGTTGCTGGATCCTCGCTCTGGGGCAGGAGCCAAGTGAGTGATGGCAGGAGGAGCAGGGATGTGCTGGCACTGCTCCTTCCCAGCTGTGCCCTGCTCTCAGGGTGCAGGGAGCAGCACTGGGGGGCACAGGCAGCCCTCACTGCCCACACAGGACCATTCCTGCTGCATTTGGTGGGTGCAGGTGGGCAGCACACGTGGGCACAGTTCAGGTACCCAGGCACCCTCCCTCCCCCCTCCCAGCCTGGAGCTGCCCTGCACCTCCTGTCCCCATGGGGAGGCCAAAGGATGTGACCAAGGGCAAGGCCAGTGTCCTCCTGGGGCTCCCTGCAGGCAGATTCATTTGTTTATTTATTTATGTATTAAGGGCACCTTTAGGCAGGAAAAGTGATGGATGTGCATTCCTACCTTGCAGTGGTAGGAATGGCTGTTTTCTGCAGGTTTTGCAGCAGGACAGACAGACAGCAGCACTCAGAGGCTCCTGTGTTATCCCTGTTGGCACCGGTGCCAGATCTGGACCCTGCTGGGCTTTTCCCAGGGAAGCAGCAGCAGCCTTGGGGTGACCCACAGGGAAGCTCCCAGGGCTGAGGCTGGCAGGGTGACACCCTCACACCTCTGTTTTCTAGTTCAGAGATGTTCCTTAACTGGCTTTGTATTGGGCATTTCCATCCCTGTCCCTGGGAGCAGGGCCTCAGAGCAAAACCCTGCAGGGATGAAATCCAGGGGAAATGCTGTGTGAGGACTTGGCACTGACTCCTTTCCTCAGGCTCAGCTCTGTGAGGGACAGAGCTTCACACACCAGGGTCACAGGGGACCTGCAGGGTTTGGGGGGCACCTCTCTCCCCCAAACCTGGTGTTTGGGCAGCACTGGCAGCAGGGCAAGGCTTGAACCCCCCCTTCCTGCAGCCCAGCCCCAAAGGTTGTCCCACTGCCACCTGCTCATGTCCCTGAATGTCCCTGGGAGCTGGCCTGGGGCAGGAGCAGGGGAATTTGGGGTGGGTGCTCCTGGGGTGCTGCTGTCCTGCCTGGTTGCATAAGCCCAGCAGCCACGGGAGGTGAAATGGGATTGTGAGGGATTACAAGGAACAGGCTCAGGCCGCTTGATTCTTGTTTCTAAAAGGAGCTCTTAAGCTGCTGTTGTTTTCCCAGCACTTTGGATTAGGGCTGAACCTTGTGGGGCTGTCCCCAGGCTCCCCAGAGGGACCCCCCAGCCAGCCTGGGGGCTGTCTGTGAGTGCCAGGCACGACAGAAAACAGGGGCTGGGGGTGACCACCCCTGCCTGGGCACCCCAACAGCACCCCCATCCCCTCCTCCATCCCCAGTCAGGGCACAGTGTGAGTGGCACAGGGTGACCCTGCACGGGGGTGGGGGTGTGGTGCCTCCCCTGCAGGCCCTGGGGTGCTATAGGGGGGACACTGGGGTCTCACCATTGCCCACATCCCCTTTCTTGCAGAGATTATGCACGATGTGATCCGGAAAGTGAAGAAGAAGGGGGAATGGAAGGTGAGCACTGAACCCAGGGAGGGCCTGGAGGGGAGGAGGCAGGGTGGGGAGGGTCTTGCTGTAGCCCCAGCTCACAGGGTGCTCACAGGGTGCTCACAGGGTGCTCACAGGGTGCTCACAGGGTGCTCTCCTGTCCCCAGGTGCTGGTGGTGGACCAGCTGAGCATGCGCATGCTCTCGTCCTGCTGCAAGATGACCGACATCATGACAGAGGGCATAACCAGTGAGTTCCCCCTCCCTGCCTCCACATTCCCTGTGGGAAAGGCCAAATCTCCCTGGGCACCAGGACACCCACAAATGCATCTCCAGGCTGGCACAGGGAGGTTGGCACAGCCCCCACCCAGCCCTATCCCACTTGGGATGGAGCCACTCCAGCTCCCATGGCCTGGGGACAGCTCCTGGTGCCAGGCTGGGGTTCCACAGGTGCCTCCTTGCCTGCTGGGGCTGGAGCAGCCAGAACACCTTGTCTCCTGGCAGCCCTTCAGTTCCAGGAGGGGACCAGGTGTTGGTTTTCATCAGCCTGATAATGAAATAGCTCTCTGCAACACCTGGGAAGGAGAAGGAAATGCCAGCCTGGATCCTGGGAGGTGCTGGGGATGGTGGGGTTTTGCCTGGGACAGCAGAGCTCAGGTGAAGGGGGATGTGAGGATAAACCAAGGGAACAGGAGCACAGACAGATCCCCTGGGACCTGGCCAGCTGCCCACACCCACAGCTCCAGCAGGGCTGGGATGGGTGGGCAGGGATGCCCCAGCTCCCGGGTGGGCAGGGATGAGTGGCTGGGGGTGTTTGGCTGTGGAGGGGCTGCCATAGGGAATCCAATGGCTGTGGGATATCCAGGCACCACGGGGTGTCCAGCAGCCCTGTGTGGCTGAGAGCCCTGCCCACAGCCCCCCTGCCCTGATCCCTGGTCCCTGTTCTCCCCCCAAGTTGTAGAAGACATCAACAAGCGCCGGGAGCCGCTGCCCAGCCTGGAGGCCGTGTACCTCATCACCCCCTCTGAGAAGGTGAGTGCATGCAGGGCACAGGGACAGGTGAGGTCTGGCAGGGGCAGCTGTGCCCATGGGGAGCATCCTGGCTCCAGTGCTCTCAGGTTTTTGGTTGTTGATTGCTGTCCTGAGATGTGCAGGGTGTCTCTGCTTCGGCCCACACGGCTGAAGAACGAGCCTGGACTCTTCAGTTTTCAGTCTTGAAGTTGTTTATTAATTCTTATCTATAAATTTTTTTTTTTCTGCCCAGCTGAGATCTGCTCAGCAGGGCAGCCACAGGCACTGTGACCACCCCTGGGGCGGTGTTGTCCTTTTATACTACAAACTACATAGAACATATTGACACTTAATTCCCAATACCCATCACCCATGTTAGGCAGTGCACTTCTATTCTAAATATAACATATTTACACTTAATTCCAATACCTATCACCTATGTTAGACAGTGCACTTCTACTCTAAACCAATCCCAAAGTGCCAACATCACTGCAGAAAATGGAGACCAAGAAGAAGAAGAAGAAAGGCTGGACACGCCCAAGTTCCTCCAACTTGTCCCCATAACCCCCATACCAAAAATCCCAAAATCTACATTTTCACCCTGTGATCATTTTATTATTACACCATTCAAACCTCTGTGACTTTCAGGTCCTCATACAAAGCTGGCAGCTTGCTCCAGGGGTCACAATCCAATCCCCAGGTGCTCTGGGCTGTGTGCCAGGGTCTCTGAGCCCCCCGGCGGGGTCCTGGCAACTCTGGGCACCCAGAGGGATGCACTGAGCTCTGACACCCAGAGGGATGCACTGAGCTCCAACACCCAGAGGGATGCAGTGAGCTCTGACACCCAGAGGGATGCACTGAGCTCTGACACAGTGGTGCCAGCAGGGTGATGGGATGGAGGTGCAGAGCCTGCCCTGAGCAGGAGGGAGGCTCTCAGTGCCATCCTGCCCAGCCCAGCTGCTCCCTCTCTCTTGCAGTCCATCCACTCCCTCATCAACGACTTCAAGGATCCTCCCACCTCCAAGTACAGAGCTGCCCACGTCTTCTTCACTGACTGTGAGTACCCAGAGGGGTGGGGAGGGGTGAGGGGTGAGGGATGGAGAGATGCTGAGCACCACCCTCCTCCTCCTCCTCCTCCTCCTCCTCCCCTCACAGCCTGTCCCGACGCCCTCTTCAATGAGCTGGTGAAATCCCGCGCCGCCAAGGTCATCAAAACCCTGACTGAGATCAACATTGCCTTCCTCCCCTCCGAGTCCCAGGTGAGCCTGGGCTGGGCTGGGGGGTGGCTGGGAGGGCTCCAGGTCCCTGTGCAGCCCACAGGGTTTGTGTAACAGCCCTGCACCCCCAGCTGGCTCCTTGCTCCCTCCCTGTCTCCTCAGATGCCTTCCTGGGCTGATCCCATGGGGGATTTAGCAGGTGCTGTGCCTTGGCCCCGTGCCCACAGCTGTGCTGGCCAGCTCTGCCACCAGCCAAGGGCACCAGGGAGCTGGCCCTGGGCCATCTGCCCCTGCTGGGGACAAAGGGACCCGGGGGCAGACCTGCTGGGTGCCATTAACCCTTCCATGCTCAGCATTCCTAGGGAGTGACCCCTTGGCACCTTCAGGTGGTTTTTACTGGGGGCACAGCTGGGGAGCTGTGTGTTTCTGCTTGGTCTCTGTTTCCCTGCCTGGGAGCAGGTGACTGCTGAGGGCAGGGGTCTTCTGCCTGCTCTGCTCAGCTGGGAGGGACACATGGATAGGGATCCTACCATGGAGCTGGAGCTGGGAATTCTGAGGGATGCCCTGAGCATCTCTGAGCTCCAGCTGCCTGGTCCCAGGCTCAGCTGGGTCCATCTGGGCATGAATCTGGTTTCCAAACCCAGCTGGGGTAGGGCAGCTCTCCTGCAGACACCCCTCCCCTCTGACCTCCCTGCCTCTGCTCCCCCAGGTTTATTCTCTGGATTCAGCTGACTCCTTCCAAAGCTTTTACAGCCCACACAAGGCCCAGATGAAGAACCCGATCCTGGAGCGCCTGGCAGAGCAGATTGCCACGCTCTGTGCCACCCTGAAGGAGTACCCAGCCGTGCGGTACCGCGGGTGAGGCCAGCGGGGGCACCCCGGGGCAGGGATGGGGCAGGTGGGGGCATCCAGGGGCAGGGATGGGGCAGGTGGGGGCATCCAGGGGCAGGGATGGGACCAGTGTGGGCACCCCGGGGCAGGGATGGGGCAGGTGGGGGCATCCAGGGGTATGGATGGGATCATTGTGGACATCCAGGGGCAGGGATGGGATCAGTGTGGGTGTCCAGGGGCATGGATGGGATCAGTGTGGGCATCCAGGGGCAGGGATGGGATCAGTGTGGGCATCCAGGGGCAGGGATGGGACCAGTGTGGGCATCCAGGGGCATGGATGGGGCAAATGTGGGCATCCAGGGCCATGGATGGGATCAGTGTGGGCATCCAGGGGCAGGGATGGGGCAGGTGTGGGCATCCAGGGGCAGGGATGGGGCAGGTGTGGGCATCCAGGGGCAGCAATGGGATCAGTGTGGGCATCCAGGGGCATGGATGGGGCAAATGTGGGCATCCAGGGGTATGGATGGGATCAGTGTGGGCATCCAGGGGCAGATGGGATCAGTGTGGGCATCCAGGGGCAGGGATGGGATCAGTGTGGGCATCCAGGGGCATGGATGGGGCAAATGTGGGCATCCAGGGGTATGGATGGGATCAGTGTGGGCATCCAGGGGTATGGATGGGGCTGCTGTGCCCAGTGCTGGTCAGAGCATGGGGTGGCACGGACAGACAGACAGCCATGCTCAGTGTAAACAGGCTCAGAGTTGATCTGGGCAGCTGGGGGGGTTGGCTCCCTGCAATCTGAGTGGCACCAAGGCAGAGTGGAGCTCGTTGAGGAGAGCTGGGAGTGCCCAACAAAACCTGCTGGGCTCCCTGCTCTCCCATGAGCCAAGGATGTTGCACAGGGCAGCCAACATCTCCTCCCCATGCTGTCCCCTGTGGGGCTGACCTGTCCCCTGCCTCCCCAGGGATTACAAGGACAATGCCATGCTGGCACAGCTCATCCAGGACAAGCTGGATGCCTACAAGGCTGATGACCCCACCATGGGTGAGGTGAGCGCTGCTGGCAGCGGGGAGGTGATGCTCCACTCCTGCAGTCCCACTCCAGCTCTGCCCTGTGACAGCCACAGGCCCTGAGTGGGGAGCCCAGAGCAGCCCCAGAGCAGCTGTGGGGCTGAGGGAGCCCCTGGGCGGTGCTGATGGCTCTGCTGTGTCCACAGGGTCCAGACAAGGCTCGCTCCCAGCTGCTCATCCTGGACCGCGGCTTTGACCCCGCGTCGCCGGTGCTGCACGAGCTGACCTTCCAGGCCATGAGCTACGACCTGCTGCCCATCGAGAACGACGTCTACAAGTGAGTGCAGGGACCCCAGCGCCCTGTGACACCCCTGAGGCCACTCCTAGGGCAGCAGCTGGGAGCTCAGCATCCCTGCATCCACTGGGTCCTGCATCCACTGGGTCCTGCATCCACTGGGTTCTCCATCCATTGGATTCTCCATCCACTGGGTTCTCCATCCACTGGGTTCTCCATCCACTGGGTTCTCCATCCATTGGATTTCTCATCCATTGGGTTCTCCGTCCACTGGGTTCTCCATCCATTGGGTCCTGCATCCACTGGGTTCTCCTTCCGTTGGGTTTTCCATCCACTGGGTCCTGCATCCCTTGAGTCCTGCATCCACTGGGTTCTCCATCCACTGGATTCTCCATCCATTGGATTCCTCATCCCCTGGGTCCTGCATCCCCTGGGTCCTGCATCCCCTGGGTCCTGCATCCCCTGGGTCCTGCATCCCCTGGGTCCTGCATCCCTTGGGTCCTGCATCCACTGGCTTCTCCATCCATTGGGTTCTCTATCCACTGGGTTCTCCATCCACTGGGTTCTCCATCCACTGGGTTCTCCATCCACTGGGTTCTCCATCCACTGGGTTCTCCATCCATTGGGTTCTCCATCCATTGAGTTCTCCATCCATTGGGTTCTCCATCCATTGAGTTCTCCATCCATTGGGTCCTGCATCCACTGGGTTCTCCATCCATTGGGTTCCTCATCCACTGGGTCCCCCATCAGTCAGGTTCCTCATCCACTGGGTTCTCCGTCCATTGCCATCCTCCACAAGGCCTCCATTGGGGACACCAGTGCTGCACTCTGGCAGCCCTGGTGGGCAGGACAGGCACTAAAAGGGCTTCCCACCCTTCAGCCCTCAGCCCCTTCCCAACATTTAGAAGTTGAAGGGGTCCAAGAGGGGAAGAGGTCAATGCCAGTTGAAATCACTTTGCTGCTGGCACAGCCAGGAAGAGCCCTCATGTCCCCCATCTCCCCAAACCCAGCAGTGAGGGGGCTGTGTGTGCCCTCAGCCCTGTCCCCTGTGTGACACCCCTCTCTTCACCCCAGGTACGAGACCAGTGGCATTGGTGAGGCCCGCATCAAGGAGGTTCTCCTGGATGAGGATGACGACCTGTGGGTCACCCTGCGCCACAAACACATCGCCGAGGTGTCCCAGTGAGTGGCCCTGGGGCTGGTTTGCTGCCTGGCTGGGACACTGGCCTGGCATTGTCACCCAGCCCTCTGTGAGGGACCCTCTCCAGTCACAGCTCTGCTCTCCTCCTCTCTCCAGGGAGGTGACCCGGTCCCTGAAGGAGTTTTCTTCCAGCAAGAGGATGAACACGGGTGACAAGGTGACCTGGTGCAGCCACCCAGCTGGGGACAGGCTCAGCCACGGGCTGGCAGGTGGTGGGGTCTCCTGGGGACACTGTGCCAAGGAAGAAGGGTGGTCAGGTTCCTGGTGGGGGGAGATGGCTGTGGGGTGCCAGCCCTACACGTGGGGCTGGGAAATGGGGTGCTGTGAGAGAGCTCTGCACCCAGAGATCAGTTTGCTGGGAAATGGGGTGCTGTGAGAGAGCTCTGCACCCAGGGATCAGTGTGCTGGGAAATGGGGTGCTGTGGGAGAGCTCTGCACCCAGGGATCAGTGTGCTGGGAAATGGGGTGCTTGGGAGAGCTCTGCACCCAGGGATCAGTTTGATGGGAAATGGGGTGCTGTGGGAGAGCTCTGCACCCAGGGATCAGTGTGCTGGGAAATGGGGTGCTGTGGGAGAGCTCTGCACCCAGAGATCAGTTTGGCCCAGCACAGGGTCTGTGCACCTCCCTCAGCAGCTGCTCTGTCCCCGTTCCCTGAGTTGGTGGCAGTGAGGGGACCCTGGTGGCAGTAAGCTGTAAAGGTGGCCCGGAGCTGACGGGACCATCTGAGCCCAAGCCAGGCACACGAGGCTCCCAGAAGATCCTCAGGAGGTTTCTCCCCACCACAGCCCAGTCTGCAGAGCTGCACACCCCTCCTGCCTCAGCTTCAGGGGAGGAGACCTGGCAGTGACACATCAGGTGTCACCAAACCCCCATGGGGGGCTCACATGGGGACAGAAGTCCTTGGCAGGGTCACCCCCTCCCTGCTGGTGGCCCCCAGGTCCCTGAGGGTGAGTGACCATGTCCCCTTCCCTCACAGACCACCATGAGGGACCTGTCCCAGATGCTGAAGAAGATGCCACAGTACCAGAAGGAGCTGAGCAAGGTAAGGGGAGGGGACAGTGTGTGTTCAGTTTCTGAGGGAGAGGAGGTGGCAGCTCTCCCCTGGCCACGGGTGGTGGCACAGGGACCCTGAGCTGCTGCCAGCCCTGCAGGGGTGACCACTCTTGTGTCCCCAGTACTCCACCCACCTGCACCTGGCTGAGGACTGCATGAAGCACTACCAGGGCACTGTGGACAAGCTGTGCCGAGTTGAGCAGGTACCAAACATCTCCCCACATTGCCATGGAACCATGGGGGTGCAGCTCCACCCTCCCAGCATGGAGTGGTGCTGAGCACGTGTTCCCTGCAGGACCTGGCCATGGGCACCGATGCTGAAGGTGAGAAGATCAAGGACCCCATGAGGGCCATTGTCCCCATCCTGCTGGATGGCAACGTCAGCACCTATGACAAGATCCGCATCATCTTGCTCTACATCTTCCTGAAGAACGGTGAGGACGTGTGGGCAGGCACATCCAGGTTTGGCCAGGACAATCCAGCTCTGCCTCCCTGACCGGGCTGAGTGTCCTAAGGTGGCAGCAGAGGGGCTGTGTCCCCTCAGTGAGACATTCCTGAGGAGAACACCCCCTGTTGCATTGCCAGGAATCACCGAGGAGAACCTGAACAAGCTGATCCAGCATGCTCAGATCCCGGCAGAGGACAGCGAGATCATCACCAACATGGCCCACCTCGGGGTGCCCATCATCACAGACGTGAGTGTGCTCCTCCCCTGCCCCTGCCCCTGTGCTCTGTCCCCCTGGGGCTGTCCCTGGGGCTGCTGTGGCTCAGGGTGTCCCTGTGCTCTGTGCCCAGTCCACGCTGCGCCGCCGGAGCAAGCCGGAGCGCAAGGAGCGCATCAGCGAGCAGACCTACCAGCTGTCCCGGTGGACCCCAGTGATCAAGGACATCATGGAGGTGAGCCAGCAGCCAGGACAGGCCTGGGGACAGGGCAGGGGGCCACAGAGCCACCCAGGAATGGACCAGCACAGAGCAGGGTGCTCCCAGCCCAGATCCTGACACCTCCCTGGACGCGTGTCCTCCAGGCTGCAGCTGCCTGGGGGTGCAGCACGGTTGGGATGTTTTGGGAGGCTTTCCTGGCCCCAGGTAGGGTGCACAGAATCACAGTTGGAAGGGATACCAAGGAATATCAAATCCAACTCTTGGCCCTGCACAGACACCCCAACAACCCCACCCTGGTGCCCCAGTTCTGGCAGGGAGGAACAGGAGCACAGCCTGGGGTTCAATCACTGCCTGTGAGGGACAGGGGCTGCCCTTGCTGAAAAGGGATGGGAAACTCAACTGGTGCTGCATGGACTGAGGGAATCAGAGCAGCACAGAATGTCCTGAGCTGGGAGGGACTGAAGGGATCGCCCAGCCCAGCCCCTGTCCCTGCCCAGCCCCTGTCCCAGCAACCCCAGCCTGGGCATCCCTGGCAGCGCTGCCCAAAGGCTCCTGGAGCTCTGGCAGCCTCGGGGCCGTGCCCATTCCCTGGGGAGCCTGGGCAGTGCCAGCACCCTCTGGGGGAAGAACCTTGCCCTGAGCTCCAGCCTGAGCTGCCCTGGCCCAGCCCCAGCCGTGCCCTGGCTCCTGTCCCTGGCCCAGAGCAGAGATCAGTGCCTGCCCCATCTCTTTCCCTCCTGAGGAAGTTTCAGACTGCACTGAGGTCTCCCCTCAGTGTTCATGGCCCTAAGCAGGCTTGCCAGCATCCCTGGATTACAATTGCAGTAACAACTTGGCTGGTTGTGTGTGTGCCACCGTGGCCACCAAGGTTGGGTGGCCTTGTCAAAGCCTTGCCCACGTCCCAGCAGAGCCAGGGGACAGGCATGGCTCTGTACAGCTGTGTCTGTGTGTCCTCAGGAGCTGTGCCAGGAGCTCTGCACTGGGATAGCCCTGGCTCAGACCAGCAGAGCCACAGCTCCCTTGGGTCCCAAAAGCACAGAGCTCATGTTCTCCTCTGCCACAACCCCCCCACAGGGTGGCTTCACCCCCAGGACAGAGGGGCCTGCCCAGGGCAGCAGCACCTCAGCAAGGTGTCCCAGGTGACAGTGACACTGGGTGACACTGGGTGACACTGACACTGGCAGCGGGTGCCTCGTGCTGGAGGGGGATCCCAAGCTTGGAGCCTCCAGCTCTGCACCTGCTCCTGAGCGTCTCAAGAAGGGAATCCTGGGCTCAGCCTCCAGAGGGGCTGTGGGGCCTGGGGCTGTGCCTGGCTCCTGGCTGACCCCGAGCCTGTGGCTGTCTGTCCCCAGGATGCCATCGATGACAAGCTGGACACCAAGCACTACCCGTACATCTCCACCCGCTCCTCCGCCTCCTTCAGCACCACTGCCGTCAGGTGGGTGCCCCTCTGCCCTGTCTGTGCCCCCCTGGTCACTGTCTATGCCCCCCTGGTCACTGTCACCATCCATCCCACACAGTCCCAGGGGCTGCAGCCAGCAGCAGCTCTGGGAGCTGCTTGGAGGCTGTTGTGCCTCAGTTTCCCCTCAGGCACTTCATGTCTGCATTCCTTTGAGGCACCCTGGGTCTCCGTTTCCCTCCAGGCAGCCTGTGCCTCTGTATCCCTTTAGGAATCCCTTGTCTCAGTGTCCTTCAGGCATCCTGTGCCTCAGTTTCCCTTCAGGCACCCTGTACCTCCATTTTTCTTTAGGCATCCTGTGCTCCAGTTTCCCTACAGATATCCTGTGTCTGTGTTTCCCTTTGGGAATCCTGTGCCTCCATTTCCCTTCAGGCATCCCATTCCTCAGTTTCCCTCGGGGTATCCCATTCCTCAGTTTCCCTCCAGGCATCCTGTGCCTCAGTTTCCCTTTAGGAACCCCATTCCTCATTTTCCCTTTAGGAACCCCATTCCTCATTTTCCCTTTGGATACCTGGTGCCTCAGTTTCCCTCCAGGCATCCCATGCTTCTGTTCCCCTGTAGGAATCCCATGCCTCAGTTTCCCTTTGCCTCACTTTCCCTTCATGCAGCCCATGCCTCTGTTTCCCCCATGGCTTCCTGTGCCTCACTTTCCCTCCAGACATCCTGTGCTTCTGTTCCTTTGTAGGAATCCCATTCCTCAGTTTCCCTCCAGGCATCCTGTGCCTCAGTTTCCCTTTAGGAACCCCATTCCTCATTTTCCCTTTAGGAACCCCATTCCTCATTTTCCCTTTGGATACCTGGTGCCTCAGTTTCCCTCCAGGCATCCCATGCTTCTGTTCCCCTGTAGGAATCCCATGCCTCAGTTTCCCTTTGCCTCACTTTCCCTTCATGCAGCCCATGCCTCTGTTTCCCCCATGGCTTCCTGTGCCTCACTTTCCCTCCAGACATCCTGTGCTTCTGTTCCTTTGTAGGAATCCCATGCCTCAGTTTCCCTTTGCCCACAACATGCCTCAGCTTCCCTCCAGGCATCTCGTGCCTCAGTTTCCCTTTAGGAATCCCATGCCTCAGTTTCCCTTTAGGAATTCCATTCCTCATTTTCCCTTCGGACACCTGGTGCCTCAGTTTCCCTCCAGCCATGCTGTGCCTCAATTTCCCTCCAGGCATCCCATGCTTCTATTCCTTTGTAGGAATCCCATGCCTCAGTTTCCCTTTAGGAATCCCATTCCTCATTTTCCCTTTGGACACCTGGTGCCTCAGTTTCCCTCCAGCCATCCTGTGCCTCAGTTTCCCTTTAGGAATCCCATTCCTCATTTTCCCTTTGGACACCTGGTGCCTCAGTTTCCCTCCAGCCATCCTGTGCCTCAGTTTCCCTTTAGGAATCCCATTCCTCGTTTTCCTTTTGGACACCTGGTGCCTCAGTTTCCCTCCAGCCATCCTGTGCCTCAGTTTCCCTTTAGGAATCCCATTCCTTGTTTTCCCTTTGGACACCTGGTGCCTCAGTTTCCCTCCAGCCATCCCATGCCTCAGTTTCCCTCCAGCCATCCCCTGCCTCAGTTTCCCTCCCTGTAACAGCGAGCAGCACTCGTGGCTGGAACACTGTACACTGGAACATTGACTTGCCCTGCTGTAACAGCAACGTCTGTGTGATTTAACTGAGATGTGGTGCCCGTCCTTCACCCTCCTCTTCCTCTCCTCAGTGCCCGCTATGGCCACTGGCACAAGAACAAGGCCCCCGGCGAGTACCGGAGCGGGCCCCGCCTCATCATCTTCATCCTGGGCGGGGTGAGCATGAACGAGATGCGCTGCGCCTACGAGGTGACACAAGCCAGCGGCAAGTGGGAGGTGCTAATAGGTGAGTGTGGCCCGGGGCTGGCCCCTCCTGCTGGCTGCTCATCCCACTCCATCCCGCAAATCCCCGGCTCCAGAGCCGGCGGGAGCTGGAACTCTGCGGAAGGGTTTTCTCCGGACATCTCTTGTCACCCCCTGTGTGTCCCCTCCTTCCCCATCTGGGTTGTGTCACTCCAAACATCCTCATTTTTGCTTCCATTTTTTCACGTCTCCTGGCTGGTGTTGTCTGAGCAGGGCTGGCTGAGAGGGGAGGAGGTTTGGCAGCTTGGATTGCTCCTCGGTTTTGGGGTCGTTACAGGAAGAAAAGTGCAAAATGAAGAGAGGTGCAAACAGGAACCAGGTTTTTCAGGGTCAGGGCCAGCTCCCATCTCTGCTACCGGGGGAGCTGTGGGTCAGGCACACAGGACACAGTGGATGCTCTACCAGCAAGGAGCTCTTAGGTGCCTAAAATTCCTGTGGGAAGCACAGCTTGGATTCACACACCCTGTAGGGCACAGGCAGGCGTCCTTTACCATCGGATCTGATGCCTGGTGGAGCCCATGCCCGGCATCTCTCCTGCTCCTTGGGAGCAGCATCCCAGTCTCCATCCCCTCCTGCTGCCCCAGCTGTGTCCCTGTCACCGGACACCCATCCCAGCTCCATCCTGCCTGTCACCATCTCACCCCGCCTCTCTCCAGGGTCCATCCCCTGCATGCGCCTCCAAGCTCCGGGCTCCGCCTGCCTCCTTCCTCTTCCTCCCCCCAGAGGCAGCTGCTGCTGGTGGTGGTGGTGGGGGAGCCTCGGCGCAGCCGTCAGCCCCGCTCTGTTCTCCTGCAGGTTCTACTCACATTCTCACTCCCACCAAATTTCTCATGGACCTGAGGCACCCCGACTTCAGGGACTCCACTAGGGTATCATTTGAGGATCAGGCTCCAGCAATGGAGTGAGCCAAAGAAACCAAGTAAAGGCAGCTTACTAATGAAAAAGAAACTCTTCCTCCCTGAAGGGTTTTCTTTGATTTTTCCATTCCTCTTTTTTTTAATTGTTGTTTTGGGGTCTGTTGGGTTCTTGGATTAGAAAATGCTTGCGGTTCCTCCGACCAGGTGGAAAAGCATCCATCACCCCTCAGCCATGTCCCCTGGCCAGCTCCTTCATGCCATGAGCTCCCCCTCACCAGGGCTGGAGGGGTCAGGGTCCTGCCTGCCCCACGGAGGGGGGGACAGAGCTCCCAAATTCTGCCCTGGGAGCGGGGCTGGAGCAGGGCTGGGGGAGAGGGGCAGCAGGGCAGACCCCAGCACCCATCCTGGGCTGGGCACTGCTGGGACCCTCAGCTCTGGGGTGCCTGGGGCTGGAGTCCCACTCAGCTCAGGTTTGCTCTTGGATAGGCAGGAGCCTCGTGGCATTGCAGACCCTCAAACCCTGCTCTGGGGTTCAGCTCCTGCTGGTTTCAGCAGTGAGTGCCACCCCAGCATGCCCTGTGTGCTGGTCCCTGCGGTGCCAGGGTGGCTGTGGGGCTGAGCCAGCGTGGGCAGCACGGTGGGACCCCCACTGGCACCGTGCTGGGGGACCCCAAGCACGGGGGGTTTTCCTTGTTTTCCTTGTCCTGTCCCACCCCTGCTGGCCACCTGTCTGTCCCCAGGATGCTCCGTGCAGGTTGGAGGGCCTGGGGAAGGTCCCTCCATGCCAACTGTTCCCTGCATCTCCCCCCCTGCACCCAGCAGTGCCTCCTGCAGTGACCCCAGTGCCACAACCCCCCTGCACCGGCTCCTCCCGGCCCCTGCCTCATCCCGCCAGCTCCATCCCTCGCCTCCATTCCTCCTCTTGGTCCTTTTCCCGTTCTCCATGCCCCCAGAGCCCACACCCCCTCCCCACAGACTGCATTTCCTCGCAAGCATTTCCAGCGGCGCGGGGCCGGCGCCGCCAGGTAAGGGGGACCCGGGACAGCGGGGACAGGCCCGGCTCCCAAACCATCACTGATCCCCTTGCACCCCTTCTCCTCTGCTCCCACAGGGTCCACGCACATCCTCACCCCACAGAAACTGCTGGACACGCTGAAGAAACTCAATAAAACAGATGAAGAGAGCAGCAGTTAAAAGGAAACGCTGTCACCACTCGATGCCGACCCACGTCCCCGCCGGGCGCCCGGCCCCGGGTGCCACCCTGCACCCAGTGGGCCCCAGCTTCTCTCTTGTTCTTGTGTTGATCCCCCCTCTCCCCTCCCAGCGCCTCCCCCATCTCATTTTATCCACAGGGAGGGGATAACAGCCAAAAAAAAAAATAATATATATATATATATATTAAGAAAATGGATGCATTGTGTTTAAGAGAAAAAGGAAAAAAAAAATCTATATATTTGTAGCTGCAGCTGTGGGAAGCGCCCAGGAGCTCATTGCTGAGTAACCATCTGCCCATTGCTAGTGAATATGGTGGGGAAAATGACAGAAAAACACTTTTTTTTTTGGGGAATGCTCCTGACTGGGGTCTTGTGTGGATGGGAGGACAGATGGACGGACACCCCACACCGCTCCAGCCGCTGCTCAGGCAGGCACCAGGCTGGCACCACCATCTGTCCCATGGCTTTTGGGGCGATGGCTGCTCCTGCCAGATGTGCACGCCAACATCTGGGTGGGACTTTGGGAGGGGGGTGGTGTGGGAGTGCAGCCAGGACGCTTCACACCGTGGTAATTCCCATGTGAAAAGGGACCAAACCGGTCAAAACTGGGAGCTGGGGCCCCGCCCGCTTGCACAGCCCTGCTGCAGCCCTGCCTCCCTCTCTGGGAATTCCTTCAAAAAAAAAAAAAAAAAAAATATATATATATAAAACAAAAAGCTATTTTATATATATATATATATATCTGAGCTATCTCTCCATGGATACCTCTCTCCATCCATTTATCCCCACGGGAGCTCGGGGCCCGTGCCCAGCTCCGCTCGTGTCGTCCCGTGGTGAAGCGTTTCTGAGCGTGCCGTCACCCTGAGACCCCCAAAACCCCTCTGGGCCCTCCCCAAAACCCCTCTGGGGCCCCCCAAACCCCCCAGGCCCCCCTTAAACCCTCTGGACTCTGTGTATATTAATGACTGTGTCTTGTGACGTTCTTACGAGCTTGGTGTATAGTGATTTCCCCAAACCTCTGATTTTAGTTGGGTTTTTATTTGACGCCCCTGGATTGCCCCCCTTGTCCCTTGCCTTTAGATGCACTGCAATATTTTGGGGTCTATGGTTTTGTTCTCTTCCCCCTGAAGGCTGTGAGCCCCCTTTTCCTACCCTAAAATTGCTCTTTCTTGCCTTGTTGGTGGTTAGCCCCCCCTTTCCCTTCCCTTCCCGTCTGCTCCTTGCCCATAAAGTTAAATATATATTTTTAGGGCAAAGGCTGTATCATTGCACTGATATTTGTTGGTTCCCCTTTGGTCTCCCAGCCCGTTTCTGTTCCTCTTTGGTTTAGCAATGCAAATGCTTCAGGATCTTGTATGTTGGACATTATTATTATTATTATTTTTTCTGTTACAGTTATTTATATAAAAAATAATTTATCAAAAAGGAAAACTTTAAAAAAAAATAATCTAGTCTGTCTTGGAACTTGTTTACCTTGAAATTACTGGAATCTAAATGTTTGAAAGTGTTGAAGCACAAACATGTATCATCTCTGTATATCTGTTCTTCTGTACTAAAGCACTCGAGTGACTAAATAAAAGCGATCTCCATCCCTAGTGCAACTGGGGCTGTGCTCTGCTGCTCCCTCAGGGCCAGGAAAACAGGGAAAAGGCATGGGAAAATATTCCCTCCAACCCCAAGGGAGGGCTCCTGGTGTGGTGATACCATACCTCCCCCTAGGAGTGGCTTTGGGAAGGAAAATCAGCACACGAGTCATCCAACTGCATTTATTTCCTTCAAAAATAGGTGATTTCTTCGTACAAAATACCAGCCCAGTGGCTCTGCTGGGTGTTAAAAAATAGGGGATAAGGGAAAACAAACAGCATTTGGTCCTGGCTACTGCATTTGGAATAATTAACCACACTTTCCACATCTTCCTATCATGCCCTGCCTGGGCTGGGGGAGTCACAGCTTCCAGCTTGGGGCACAGGCATGAGCAGAGGCAACCAGAGACAAATAAAACCTCTTTTAAACTCCCCAAACCTCTTTAAAATCCCCCAAACCTCTTTAAAATCCCCCAAACCTCTTTAAAATCCCCCAAACCCAGCCCTCTTGGCCCAAAAAAGGAGGAAGGGACAGCCCCATTCCCAACGCCTCATGTCAGGATCAGGCTCAGGAGGAGCTTGGAAGCTCCAGACCCGAGTCCCTCACTGATCCCTCCCTCCAAATGTGGGTATTTGTACAACAAATAAAAAATAAATACATTTGACACTGGCACTTCAGGTAGGTCCTACAGACAAACACAGGCTGAGGTGCTGGGGGTGGAGCAGGGGGTTTGGCTGGACCCATACCAGGAAAAGCTGCCCCAACCCACATCCTTTTCCCTAAAAAATAGGAATGAACTCCTCAGAAACCCAGCTGGGAGGAACAGGGGCTCCACAGCCCCACACCTGCTTTGGTTCTCTTCAACCAGCCCAGCTTCCCTGAGGATCCCAGGGGGAAAACCTCAAATCCTTCATTTTATTTTCTGTCTGGATGATGCTGTGGGTGGCCACATCCAGGGATGACCAGAAAAAACCTCACAAATGCCCTAAGGGTTGTGCTGGAAATGCAAACCAGAGTATTTATATATATGTATCTGTAGAAAGATATATCTATAGAATCAGATACAGATCTGGACATACACAGATCTATTTATATCTGTCTCTCTAGATATAGACAGAAATCTAAATATAGATATGCCTATCTAGATATATCCATTTATAGATACACATATATCACACACACACATTATAGATCATCAATCAACACTCCAAAGAGTGATTTAGCTGCTTATTAGCTAAAAAATTCACATAAAAACCAACAAAAAAATAAATTTCCCCAGGGAGGATCCTGCTGGCTTCAAGTCCAAGGGCAGAGGGCAGAGCCCCCTGAGGAGACCTGGAAAGGGTGGAATAGGGAATGCCAGGGAATGCCAGGGAATTCTGCCCACACAGGCACAGAGGTAAACACAGCTGCCAAGGGGGCTGGACCCACACGAGGTCAGAGCACCCCAGAAGTGCTCAGGGTGGGGTGGCCACGGCCCTAGTGGGACACCCTGCTGCTCCCAAGGGATGGTGCTGCAGAATGCTGGAGACTCCTGCCCTCACCTTCCCCCCTCCTGCACCTTGGGGCTCCTGGAGATGGACAGACAGACGGACAGGCCATGCAGGGATTGCAGGGAGGGCAGGAAGGGGGTGGCAGCCAGGGCAGGAACCCCTGAGGTACCTGCAGCCCTGCTGGCGCCAGGTTTGGCAGGGAGCACACAGTGCAGGGACAATGAGGGCTCCATTCCCCTTTCCTGGTGGCACAGAGGGCCTGGAGGCACCTCCAGCCCTGCTGGCCCCAGGTTTGGCAGGAGGCACACAGGACAGGGACAATGAGGGGACCTCCTCCTCTCCTGGTGGCACAGAGGGTCTGGAAGTGCCTCTGGCCCCAGATTTGTCAGGGAGCATGCAGTGCAGGGACACTGAAGGGCCCATTCTCCTCTCCTGGTGGCACAGAGGGTCTGGAGGTACCTCTGGCACTGCATGCCCAGGTTTGGCAGGGAGCACACAGTGCTCGGACACTGAAGGGCCCATTCTCCTCTCCTGCTAGCACAGAAGGTCTGGAGGTACCTCTGGCCCTGCTGGCCCCAAGTTTGGCAGGGAGCACACAGTGCAGGGACTCTGAGGGGCCCATTCTCCTCTCCTGGTGGCATGGAGGGCCTGGAGGTGCCTCTAGCCCTGCTGCCCCAGGTTTGGCAGGGGGCACACAGTGCAGGGACACTGAGGGGCCCATTCTCCTCTCCTGCTAGCACAGAAGGTCTGGAGGTACCTCTGGCCCTGCTGGCCCCAGGTTTGGCAGGGAGCACACAGTGCAGGGACTCTGAGGGGCCCATTCTCCTCTCCTGGTGGCACGGGGACTCTGGAGGTGCCTCTGGCCCTACTGGCCCCAGGTTTGGCAGGGAGCACACAGTACTGGGACACTGAGGGGTCCCTCCTCTTCTCCTGGTAGCATGGAGGGTCTGGAGGCACCTCTGGCCCTGCTGCCCTAGGTTTGGCTGGGGGCATGCAGTGAGGGACACTGAGGGGCCCATCCTCCTCTCCTGGTGGCATGGAGGGCCTGGAGGCACCTCCAGCCCTTGTGGCCCAGGTTTGGCAGGGGGCACACAGTGCAGGGACACTGAGGGGCCCATCCTCCTCTCCTGGCGGCACGGAGGGGCTGGAGGCACCTCTGCCCCCATGTTGGACAGGGAGAACACAGTGAGGGACACTGAGGGCTCCATCCCCCTCTCGTGTGTCACGGAGGCCCTGGAGGTGCCAGCAGGGCCCTCAGAAGAGGCAGGAGCCCCGTGGCCGGCCCAGCTCTGCGGCCAGGGCCCGGCTGATGCGGCTGGAGCTCAGCCTGGCGCTCTGGGCAGCCTCCACAGCCCGGCCCAGGCACCAGTTCAGCTCCTCCAGCTCCTCCAGCTCCAGGCTCAGGCGGCGCTGGTGGCCCTGGGGCCGGGGGGGACGCTCTGCCCGCCGGGGGACACCGAGGGGGACCCCGGCCAGGGCTGGGGCTGAGGTAGGAACTGCTGGGGAGCAGTAGCTGGGAAGAAGAAGGGACACGGGCTCAGTGATGGGGTCTGTGCCACCACCCCACCTTGTTTCCATCCCTCTTCCCCACCTCCTCCATGCCCACCCCACAGCACCACCCCCTGAGCACAGAGGAGCCAGTGGCAGTGTCACCCCACAGTGGATCCCTGGGGTGGGGACAGCCCCTCCTGGGTTCCCCCTCCACCCCTGGGGGATGCTGACCCCCCCTGAACCCCCTCCCAGCCCCAGGGCATCCTTACAGCATGGAGGGCACGTAAGGCACGAGGGGGACGGGTGCCAGGCAGACGGTGGCAGCAGGGGTGGCTGCCAAGTACCAAATTCCAGGTTGCTCCAGCTTCTGGGCTCCAGCCTGGGGACCTGGGGGACAGGAGCCACCAGGGACATGCTCTGCTGAGGGAGGAAGGGGGTTAGATGTCCCCATGGGGGTGCAGTGTCCCCATGGGGGTTTGGTGTCCCCAGGGGTGCCCATGGAGTGTCAGCCCCAGTGCCATCACCCCCTGTGCCACACGGGGTGGGCACAGTCCCCTGCCATCATCAGGGGGCTGAGGTTGTCCCTTGTCCCAGCAGCCAGCCCCCACATGGTGAGGAGCTGTTCCAGGCATGTGTCACCCTTGTCACCCACCATGTGTGGCTGTGTCCCTGCTGCCCGTGGGTGCCCGGCAGGTGGGGCAGGACGTTCTCCTGGGGGTGCTGTGCTGGGGGTGCCTGGGAGTGTCACCTCCCCCAAATGCAGCTGTGGAGAGAGGACATCAGGAATGGCCCCTGCACGGCCAGCCAGGGATGGTTGGGAAGAGCTGAGTGGTTTGGGGGGATGGTGAGATGGGGAGGGGGCTTTCCCTGCAGGAAAAGGGGGGGTCTGCAAAGGTGGGCTCTGCACTGGCACCTGGGACAGGGCTGGGGACAGGTGACAGTGCTGCCAGTGACACCTGGAAACCCAGGGAATCCCAGCAATCCCAGGGAATCCCAGCAATCCCAGGGAATGCCAGCTATTTCTGCCCATACAGGCACAAATGCCAAGGGGGGCTTGACCCATGCAGGATCCCCACGAGGTCAGGGCATTGCCCTTGGGGACAGTGGGGTCTGGCCAAGGGACAGTGAGGAGAGCCTCAGGCCATGAGGAATGGGTTTGTCTGTCCCCTCCCTAAGCCTCTCCAGTTAATTAATTAGGGTCATTAGCAGCTGTTAGGGGTGGTAGGGAAGGGCAGGGGCTGAGCACCACTCACCTGATGCCGTCCTGCCCCTGTGACATCGGTGACACCCCGAGGTGCCCGGCTCTTCCCGGGGTGCCGGGGTGGCACGTGGTGTCCCTGCCTGGTACCGTGTCCCTGCCAAACCCCAGCGTGAGCATGGCCAGGGTCCCCAGGGCGGGGGCAGCCCCACCACCGACCGCCACCAGCCCCCACCTGCGTGCTGTCCCCGGAATGTCACCGGCCCCGGGGCCTTCCCAAGGTGCTTCCGCAGGGCGGGGGGTGCCCGGGGCCCGGGCTCTGACTCGGAGGCTGCGGTGGAGGACAGGGAAGGGGGGTGGCATCCGCCGGGACCCAGCTGCAGACCTGCAGGACCCACTCCAGGCTGAGCACTGCGGGCTCCGTGGGACCACCAGGACCCCAGGGTCCTGCAGCCCCACAGCATTATGGGGAGGGCAAGTGGCACGCAGGGAGGAGCGTGTCCCCTCTGTCCCCACCCCACTTACCGAGGTCCAGCTCGGGCTTGCTCCGTGGCAGCGATGCCGACCTTCCCCTCCGCATGGGTGTGACCCTGGGGGCCGCCCTGCCCCGCACAGGGGGGCTCGGCTCCCTGCGCAGGGGACAGAAATGCTGTCACCACCTCCGCTGTCACCACCTCCACCGTCACCACCTCCACCCACCAGGCTGGCAGTCCCCTCAAGCCAAACCCCTCCCTGCTTACAGCAGAGATGGGGACAGGCTGAGGCTGGGGGTGTCCCCCCTGCCACCTACCCCGAGGGTGTCGCGTCCGGCGGGGCCGATGCTCGGCTGGCCACCGGCTGCCTCCGGGCCGGGGTGACACCGGGAGTGCCTTTTCCCTCGGGGTAGCTGCGGGAGTGGCACAGGCTCTCCTCCAGCCTCCGCCGCAGCCGCCACACCTCGTCCTGCAGCGCCCGGATGGCCTGGCTGCCCCAGGACACATGTCCCAGTGAGGGGGGGCAGCCAGCAGGGACCCCAGCGGTGCTGGTGGCCCTTGGGGAGCATCAGCACCCCCCTCCCAGATCCCCCTGGGACCCCCCGCCAAAACCAAGCCTGGGCTGGCATCCAGTGCCCTGTGGGTGCCTTTGGGGGGTCCCTGTGTCACCCACGGGGCTCTGGCCTGGTTTGGGGTGCTGGGACACAGCCACTCACTCGCGCTCCAGACGGGAGCCCAGCAGGTCACAGTGAGCCGGGTCGAGGGACGGCAGGTCGGGGGACAGGAGGGTGGGGGATGGCGTTTGTGGGGAGGGCAGGGGGCTGGTGGGGCTCCTGGCCATGGCTGGGGGGTGGCCACCGGCGCTGGCACAGCTCCTGGCTGCCACCTCCGAGTCCGTGTGAGCTGGGGAGCAAGGGGAGCACAGTGAGCTGGGACCGTCGAGCAGAGACTGGAACACACCTCCCTCCAGGGAGGGTGACATCAGCCCCACGAGGAGGGCTGGGAACCCCAACAATCAGAGCCACAGAGCCAGGGCCCCCCAGATCTCTCACCCTCGCCGAGTCCTGTGTACTCACTGCCATCACCGTCGGGGTCTGGCCCCACCTCGCTGCCCTCAGCCCAGCGAGGGGGGGAGCTGCTCTGAGAGGGGCTGCTGGGGGGCCCCCCTGTGCCCTCCGGGAGGTAGATGCCCATCAGTGCCGTCTCCGAGGGAAGCGGGGTCATCTCTCTCTCCCGTGGGGAACGGAGCCTGCTGGGGATGGGGATGGAGGGTCCCAGAGAGCCCGGAGCCCTGCGGAAGGGATGGGTCATGTGGGCAGCCCCAGGGCTCCCCCTGGCCACGGGAGCTTGTCTTTTTTAAAAGAGCTACTCTTTTTAAACTATCTTCTTTTTATATCCCAAGAGCATCATCATGGCAACACATTGTGAGGAAGAGTACGCTTACTGCAGTGTGAGTTGAAGAAAGTGTTGCTAGCTCAGGTATCAGGAAACTGATTCCAAAAGATGATTCTCAGCAAAGCTGATAGAATCATTGAATTGCAGGACAGCAGCTTGGATTGGAAGGAACTGAAAAATCTTCTGCACATCTCCAACCCTGCTCCCCACACCCTCGGTGCCTCTCTGCCATCCCTGCTCCTCAAATCCCCCAAATCCCGTGGGCAGAGCCATACCTGGGGCCAGGGGGATGGTGCTCAGGGGTGTGCACTGGGGGTGACACCCTGCTGGCCTCCGAGCCCACGAAGCCACTGTCGGTCTCTGGGGACACGATGCGCTGCTGCTCCTGCAGAGGGACAGCAGGGTGGGTGCCCAGCAGCCCAGGGGGCTCTGGGGGGGTCCCAGGCAGGGATCCACAGTCCCAGGGACTCACCTTGTGGGGCCTGGGCTGGGTGGCACCGCTGCCTGTCCCACCGAGGGACAGGGACACCCGTGGTGGCCCAGGGACCCCCAGGGGGGGCTTGGCAGAGGCTGGTGGCTCCTCAGCAGTGGCAGGGGAGGGGTGGCCCAGTGTCTCCTCCAGGTTTGGGGGTTCTCTGGGGGGAAGGGTCGCAGCTCTTCTCTGTGGAAGGTGCCTGTGGGGAGGGGATGGAGAGGGAATGATGGGGCAGAGCAACCCCAGGCATGGGGAAATGTCCTGATCCAGCTCTGCCATGGAGGAGGCCCCATGGTAAAACTGTTAACCCCAAGGTAAATAAAACTGGAGATCTGACATCAAACCTGCTCACCCCTGCCTCCACAGCACTTACAAGGCCAAGGGCTCGAGGTTGGGCTCCTCCTCGAGTGACCGTGTCCTGCAGGGGACCTTGCTGGGGCCACCGTCCCCTGCCGTGGGTGCATCCACCTCCTCCTGGGACTGGCTTCCCACCAGGCTCAGCCGCTCCAGGCTCAGCGACTCCGGCAAGGACTTGAAGTGCTTGTACCTGGGGGGACCCGCGGGCAGGAGCAGGCGGCTTTGGGGACATGCCCTGTGCCCGTGCCCCCCCTGCCCCGCTGTGAGGGCACTCACTGCTCCAGCAGGTCCCCAAAATCCTCCTCCACTTGGCGCTGCTTGTGCCAGAGGGGCCAGGGCAGCCCCCCTGCCACCCCCTCGCTGTCCCCTGCTGTCCCCTGAGGATCCTCCACCAGCGCAGGGCTCTGTGGGAACAAGGGGGTGAGAGGGGCAACCCCCCATGAATGCAGTGGGGTGGGGAACCTTTGCACCCCCAGCTCACCTCGGGGCGTGGGGAGTGGGCGGCCGGTGGTGGGGACGGGGCTGGGGGGCAGTGGGGCTGCAGAGGCTGCTGAGGGGGGGGCTGAGGGAGGGGCTGAGGGAGGGGCTGCCGCCTGGCCCCCGGCTCCAGCCGCTCCTTCAGCCCCTCCAGGCGCAGCCCAGGCGGTAAATCTCCCCTTCCACTGCCCTGCAAGACACCAGCCATCAGTGCGGGGGGGACAGCGACCCCCGGGGACTCTCCGGGGGCTCTGGGGGGACAGCGACCCCCGGGGACTCTCCGGGGGCTCTGGGGAGGGGGTGGCAGGGGGATGGAGCCCGTACGGTCAGGATCAAAGCCCCCGCAGTCGCTGGGAGCTGCTGCCGGCCCCGCAGGTATTCCCGCTCCAGGGCATCCTGTGCATCCTTCAGCATCCTCATCCTCTGCGGCACAAGAGCGGTGTCCGAGCCTGTCCAATGGGCCCCGGGCATGCCCATGCCCCCAGGCTGGGGTCGGGGAAGGGGCTGACGCACCTGGAGCTGTTCCGAGGGTGTGGGGGTCCCTGCACGCACCCAGCTTTCGAAGGATTCCACCTGGCCAGAGTTGTATGGGCTGAGCATGGCCCTGCTGTGCCCCCTCTGCACGTCCTAGACCCCCCATATGAAGCATCCCCAGGGACTGCTCCAGTGCAATCCCCCACTGCACCTTTCCTTTCCTTTCCTTTCCTTTCCTTTCCTTTCCTTTCCTTTCCTTTCCTTTCCTTTCCTTTCCTTTCCTTTCCTTTCCTTTCCTTTCCTTTCCTTTTCCTTTCCTTTCCTTTCCTTTCCTTTCCTTTCCTTTCCTTTCCTTTCCTTTCCTTTCCTTTCCTTTCCTTTCCTTTCCTTTCCTTTCCTTTCCTTTCCTTTCCTAGCACCCCACAACACTCCCCCTCCCCACAGCATCTCCCCCAACCCCTCTGATCCAGATCCCCTCCACAGCTGCCTCCAGCTTATCCCCATAGTCCCCCGTCAAAACTCCCCCCAAATCCCCTCCCTGCAGCCCCCACCAGCACTCCCCAAAACCCCTATTCCACGCAGCCCCTCAGCACCCCCCTCTACAGCTCCCAATTCCCACACCTCTCCACACCCAGCCCCCAGCAGCCCCCCAGTCCCTACCTGTGCCTGCAGCCTGCGGCTCTGCCCTGCCAGGGCCCGGGTGAGCCGGGGGCCAGGGCAGCAGCACGGCCCGGGGCAGGTGGGGCAGCACCCCCCGGGCAGAGGAGGGGACCGAGGCTGGGGTGAACCCCCCTGCTCTGATGGTCCTGGGGCTGCAGCTGTGAGAAAACACGAGGACAATGACACTGCAGCAGTGGTGACACCAGCGTGGGGAAGGGGCTGTGGGGGACAATCCTCCCAGAAGCAGAGCAGGAGGGCCGTGAGCAGGACAGGGGACATGGATCAACACACCTGTGAGGTGTGGGGCTCTGGGATGTGGATCAACACACCTGTGAGGTGTGGGGCTGTGGGATGTGGATCAACACACCTGCAAGGTGTGGGGCTGTGGGATGTGGATCAACACACCTGTGAGGTGTGGGGCTCTGGGATGTGGGTCAACACACCTGCGAGGTGTGGGGCTGTGGGATGTGGGATATGGATCAACACACCTGCAAGGTATGGGGCTCTGGGATGTGGATCAACACACCTGCAAGGTGTGGGGCTCTGGGATGTGGACCAACACACCTGCAGCTGGCGAGGCCGGGGCTGTGGCCATGCCCAGAGCCGCTGTCCGTGCCTGTGGGATGCTCAGGGTCATCACTCGGCTCCCGGTGGCCACGGTGCCCATGGCGAGGCTGCGGCTGGGCTGGGGCGGGTCGGAGAACAGGCTCACCTGGGCAGGGAGAGCGGGTTTGGGCAGCCAGCCCGCACCCCGACCCACCCACCGTGCCCCGGGGCACCCTGAAGCACCCCATGGGCACAGCAGTGGGTGCGGTGAAGGTGGGGACACGCGTGCGGGGGGGGCGGCTGGCACAGCCCTGCCTCAGTTTCCCCACCCACGCGGTGGCAGAGGTGACACGGGGACGCGCTTCCTGCCATCTCAGAGACGTGTCCCGCCATTCCGGGGACAATCGGGCTGAGCCACCGCCCTGGCACGGAGGGGACCGTGCCAGACGAGGGGGGCGCCATGCTCCCCGGGCTGCTGTGGGCTCTGCGGCGGCCTCAACCCCGTCCCTGGGCTGGGACCGCTCAACCGCAGCTCCCCGGGAGGAGGAAGAGGAGGGGGGCCGGGGGAGGAAGGCACAACTCATAACTTCAGGGAGGGGGGAGCAGAGAGGGGAACCCCCCCAGGCGTCCTGAAGCCCCCACCCACCCTGGCGCCCAGGCGCAGCTGGTCGATGGTGTTCTCAGCCTCGGCGTACTTGGTCAGCAGCTTGTGGTAGTCGTCCTGCAGGGAGGGGACACCAGTGGGGGACAGCACCCGGCACGGGGGATGCCCGAGGGGTGGGTGCTAAAGGGGGGAGGCAGCCCTGTGAGGGGACAGCACGGAGGGGCAGTCCCATGGGTGGGCTGCAGGAACCCCCTCTCCGAAACACCCAACCCCTCTGTGCAGATGTGACCCCCTCTTCTCCGCGTGGGGAGAGCCCCCTGTCCTCCCAGGAGGACAAACATCCTGAGGGTCACAAGCTCTGTGGGGGTGACCACCATCCCGGGGGGACACGAGCATCCTGTCCCCAGGCTGAGCACTGCCCACATCCCTGCTCCTTCCCTCCTCGCTAGCTCCATGCAGGAACCGGGAAAGGGTGACCAGCACCACACCCCCATGGATGCCCCAGAGGCAGGGACACCCCCATGTCCCCCCACCCTGCAGACCCTCCCAGTACGGCTGAACGGGGGGAGCCGGGCGTTACCTGGAGCTGCTGCACCAGCGCCGTGGCTTGTCTGGGGGACCTGAACTCCTGCGGCAGCCCGGCCGTGCTGGGGGGCTGCGGGGACGCCCCCTCGCCGCTGCTCAGCAGCACCTCCCGGACGATCTCGGCCGGGGATTTGAAGCCGATGGGGCCGCGGGGGCGGGCGGGCAGCACCCGGCCCCGGGGCGGGCGGTAGCTCTGGTCGAACTTCACCCGCGCCTCCACCTTGGACAGGTCGGGCAGGGGGTGGTTGAGGCGCCCTCGGCCGTACTGGGTGCCCTCGGTGCCCGTTCCCGAGGGATCCTTTGTCCCCTTGGCACCCGTTCGCCTCCGGGGGCTCAGGGACCGCGACTGCCGGGCGGGCTTGGGGGGCACCACGGCGGGCGCTGCTTTCTTGGGCACCCGGGATCTGCCGTGCCCTTGGGGTGCCGGGGCATTCCCGGCGCCCTGGGGCTGCCCGGTGGGTGCCGAGCCAGCAGGTGCCATCCCTGTGCCAGCTCTCTGGGGCTCGGGCACACGCTCGGGGCTGGGGCCATCGGGGGAGAGCTGCGGGGGGAGGCTCCGTCTCGGGCTCCACTCCTGCCTGTGCCCCCCGATGGCGTCCCCGGCCGTGCCCCAGCTCCGGTGCTGGCGGGACGGGGGGCCAGGGCCAGGGCTGGCGTCCGAGAGCCCTGAGGTGTCACCCCCGTCCGTGCTGCAGCCCCGGGGCCGGCACAGAGCCCGGCCGGCCCTCACGGCCTCGGGGCTGCCGCTGGAGCCCGAGCCCCAGCAGCCCCCAGAGGACAGCTCGGGGTCGGGGTCCCCATCGCTCTCCGCCCCCCAGGGCCCCTCGTCCGCCCCGGAGCTGCCCCGCTCCTCATCCTCCTCGGCCGGCTCCTGCCGCGGGTGCCACGGCCCCTCCTGCGCCGGGGACCCCTCCTCCAGCTCCTCACTGCCACCTGCAAAACAGCGGCACCGCGGGGCTGTGGCCACCCACGCCCAGCCGGTGTCCCCGGCCCCCCCCTCCAGCAGCTCCGGCGACATTTGGGACCACCCCTTGTGGGCAGGACTCACCCCACGGGGGGCTCCTGGCACCCTCCCCCAGGCCGATGACCCCATCCTCGTCCATCCGCCTTTCAAAGTCGTCTTCTTCCTCCTCCTCCTCCTCCTCCTCCTCCTCGCCGTGCCAGCGCGTCAGCTCTGTTTGTGTCCAGCGCAGCCATGGTGCCGGGCTGGCCATGGCCCCTCACTTGTGTCGCTTCATGGCCCGGCGGCGGTGGCGGCGGGCTGGGGACCTCCTTGTCGCGAATGTAGGTCACAGCATCGCCGCCGCGTCCTGGGGGCGCCGGGGGAGAGGGAGGCATGCTCAGCGGGACATGGTGGGCTTTGTTTGAGGTGTCTTCCCTGTCCCCCAAATCCCGGGGACAAAAACAACCCCCGATGACGGTGGGGATACCCTCGGATCAGACCCCCCCACCTCTGCATCCCACCCTGAAGCTGGAGCTGCCACATCTCTGCCAGCTGTGAGATCCTCGTGGGGAAGGAGCCCCTCAGGGCCACCCCAAAAGGTTTGTCCCCCACCCCGGGAACACCCAGGCCATGCTGGTACCCTGTGGATGTCACCCCAGCTGGGCAGCCACACCCTGGGGACCGCCAGCAGTGCTGGGGGGGCAGGAGCACCCCAAAGAGCCCTCTGGATGTGGGGTCACAGCAGAGACCTGATACAAAAATTCCCATGATGATCCCAAAGCATGAGCTCCCCCTTCACCCCCGCACGGGGTTTCTGCCAGCAGCCGGATGCCAAAACCCCAAATGTGGAGTGTGGCAAGAAAGGCCACGGGGTTTCCAACCCCTCTGCTGGATTGGAGCCCCATAAGCCCAAATTTTGGCTTGGGGGGTCAAACCAGGCACCTCCAGCCCCATGCAGGGGACACTCACCCTGTACCAGCAGCCTCAGGACATCCCCATCACTGTGACCCCATGAAAACCGAGCACCCCGAAACTTTCCTGTGCCTGTGGGGCAGCCCAGCTTTTGCAGAAGGAGGAAATGATGTTTCCTGCAAGTTTGCAGGTGGCCACAAAAGTTTTAACCCCATCCGGCCCTGCGCAGTGGGGGCCGAACTCTCCTCCTGCAGCATTTTCTATCAAAACCTTTATTTTTTAATCCATTTCAGAGCAAAATGCCGTAGGAAGAGAGGGGAGGGAGATCCCTGGAACCATCAGCAATTGGCCCATAAAACATCAGCACAAAGATTTTCCAGGAGACCTAAATTAAGCTTTAAAGCCCCAAAATTCAGCCATCCTTAGAAATTCCCCCAGATTTCCACAGGGAGGGTCCAGCTGGCCCCAGCCTGGGATGCTGCTCACACTCCCAGGGGTGCTGTGGCTGCACCCAGGCACTGTGGCCTGTCTTGGCACATTCACAGGCAGCCAATTAAGCCAGCTCGTTAATGTGTAATTAGTGGCACGCAGAGGACAGCTTGACGAGCTAATGAAACCACAGCATGATGCCTGGGGTGGCTGCTCTTAGCCAGAGGGTGCTGTGGCGATTTTGGGGTGCTGTGGTGATTTTGGGGTGCTGCTGGCTGGGGGATGGGGGTGATGAGGAGTAAACCTATCCACAGCACCCACATGCTCTGGGAAAAGTCCTCTGATCCTCTCCCAAGCCTCAGTTCTGCAAATTCCTTGGGTGTTTGTGAGGTTTGAGGTTATTTTCCAGCCCTGCCTGGCGTCAAGGGCATCATCCTTGCACCAGCCTTGCTCCCAGCCCTGCCTGCATCCTTGGGGATTTCAAGCAGGAGCAAACCCCAAAGCATCCCTTAGGGTCTTGCAAACCTCCTGGGGGGTTTGCATGAGGTTTTCTCCCCCACACTGAGTGGACAACTCCATTCCCTACACCTGGAGATGCTCCACAGCTTCTCATGCCACCGGGGCTGCCCACAGGATTCTTCAGACTCTGAGCTACTGAAACCAAAGAGGGATTTTGGCTTTAGCTCCTCCCTGGGCTGGGATGTTTCCAGCCCCAAGTCCTTACACACATCCCAGAGATCCCCACCAAGTGCCTCCCATCCCACCTGGAGCTCTGCAGGATCCCAGAGCCATGAGGAGCCCCAAACACCACGCTCAGGATTCCCACAGGAGAGTGCTGGGTGAAAGGAGCCTGGGTGTAGGATTGTGTTTGCTATTGACAGAGTGACCAAATTATTCTTTGTCTACTTAAAAAGGCAAAAAAAGCCCAAAAGTTTCTCTCCTCAATTGGGTAAAAAGATACCTCACAAGACCTTTAGGACTTCACCTCAAACCTGGGGCTGCCCAATTAAGCAAAGGCCAAAAACTCCCACCTAAGTAATTCACTAAAAAAAGAAGAGAACAAAGGAAATAATTGCTTTTGTGGAGTGTCTTAACAAAAAACAAAAACCTCTTACCCCTAACTCAGTTTTTCTCTACAAGAGCTTTATTATTTTGCCTTTTATTAAATTTTTTCTGTTTCCAACACTACCTAAAAAACCATCCTACTAATTTTATATCATTAAAAGTAACTAAGCTATCTCAAGTGTAATAAATTCTCTAAGAGCTCCTAAGACCTAACTCAAAAAAACTCCATCACCTGGGGGTCCTGTTCTCTTGGGATAAAGGCAGTTAAAACATTCCCAACCCATTTCTGGTGTTTTTTTAACCCCATCCCAGGCAAGGGATGGGGATTTTGCATCTCTTGAAGGAGGCCATGCCTAACCCACATTTTGTCACCCCATTTCTGAGCAGTGATTCCCACATGCACAGCCCACAGCAGCTGCAGTCCAAACCCAGCCACAGTTATTGCTTTCCCAGAAAATCCCTCTGCTGATGGGCATGGTGGCAAGAGCAAAAACACTCAGATTCTTTTCCCCCCTCTAAGTGATTTTCTCCCTGTTATGGGAGCACAGAAAAGCTTGAAAAATGATGTGGCTTCGTGCTCAGCAGCCACAAATCAAACGAAAACAATCCCAAATGTGTGTGCAGAAATGTATCCATATATTTTAATTTTCCTCTTTGAAAGCCAGGATTTTTTGCAACAGGCAACTGGGAAAAAAAGCTAAAAAGAAATTTAAAAGCCTCAGCTAAAAAACCCTGAACTCTGCTCTGCACCAGCCCCTCCAGGCCTCTCCTGCCCTACAGATCCCAGCCAGGGCTGTCCCAAATTGCGGCTCAGGGCAGAGGGGCTCAGCTGAGGGGGGGATGCTGCCAGCAGTGCTGGGTGCTGCCAGGTCTGTCTGTCCCTCCTGAATCCTTTCTGCAGGCAACAATCCCATCCCTGTCCCATTCCCTGCCCTGATCCCATCCCATCCCTGATCCACTCCCTGTCCTGATCCCATCCCTGCCCCACTCCCTGCCCCACTCCCTGCCCTGATCCCATCCCATCCCTGATCCACTCCCTGCCCCGATCCCATCCCTGTCCCACTCCCTGCCTGGATCCCATCCCAGATCCCATCCCTGTCCTGATCCCATCCCTGCCCCACTCCCTGTCCTGATCCCATCCCTGATCCACTCCCTGCCCTGATCCCATCTCATCCCTGTCCCACTCCCTGCCTGGATCCCATCCCTGATCCACTCCCTGCCTGGATCCCATCCCAGATCCCATCCCTGCCCCACTCCCTGTCCTGATCCCATCCCTGATCCTGTCCCTGATCCCATCCCTGCCCCACTCCCTGCCCTGATCCCATCCCTGATCCTGTCCCTGATCCCATCCCTGCCCCACCCCCTGCCCTGATCCCATCTCTGATCCACTCCCTGCCTGGATCCCATCCCTGATCCCATCCCTGCCCTGATCCCATCCCTGTCTCATCCCATCCCTGCCCCATCTGATCCCTGATCTCATCCCTGTCCCCCTCCCTGCCTGGATCCCATCCCTGTCCCACTCCCTGCCCTGATCCCATCCCTGTCCCGATCCCATCCCTGCCCCACTCCCTGTCCCATCCCATCCCTGTCCCCCTCCCTGCCCCGATCCCATCCCTGTCCCACTCCCTGCCCTGATCCCATCCCTGATCCACTCCCTGCCTGGATCCCATCCCTGATCCCATCCCTGTCCCAGTCCCTGTCCCATTCCATCCCTGTCCCACTCCCTGCCCCATCCCTGTCTCACTCCCTGCCCTGATCCCATCCCTGCCCCGATCCCATCCCTGTCTCACTCCCTGCCCCGGGCAAAGACCGAGGTGCGAGGCTGATCCCGCCCAGCTCATCCTGCGTGGGCAGGGAAGCAGCAGCCATCCAGGCCAGCACGGAGCCATCGTGGCTCCTGGCTTTATCCGTGCTGACAGCAGAGGAGACAGGAGCATCCTCCGCCCCAGGGCTCGCTCGGTGACAGGGAAGGGGGGGTCAGGGCTGCTGTCACTCTGCCTTCACTGCCCTGTCAGCCTCGGGAAGAGCAGGGGGGATTGGGGGGCTCTAAACCCCGCAGCTCCATCCCCACATTCTCTGAGTGATGTGGAATTACCCTCCTGCCCTGTGTCCCAAAATTCCTTTGCCTGGGATGGGTTAAAGCCCCTCCTGTACATCCGTGCCCATCTGGGATGCAGGGGGGGCTAAACCCCCGTCCCAGGCCCTTGCATGGATGTTTTGCATCTCTTTTAGAGAGGTTTGAAGGAGGCCAGAACGGCCTCGGGCTGAAACTTGGCAAGGCATGTCTGCGCTCCAGGAGGGAGAAATTCCTGGTGTATAAACCCTTTTTTAAAGCCCACAGAGCCCCGTTTTAATAGCCATGAAAGAGGGCAGAGAAGCGGAAACGCTGCGTTCTCAGTTTGCATTATTTCCTACTAGAACAAGGGAGGGACCATCACAGCGAGGAAGAGCCTGACAAACCCCACTGGTCCTCTGAAAGCACACGCCTGTCACCACCACTGCAAAGCCCACGTGTCACCCCAATTCCAGCAGCTCCAGGGGCCACATCCCCCCATACTGCCACACCCCCACGGAGAGGCACCAAAACACCATGGAAATGTCATTTTTCCATCACTTGCACCGAAGCAAAGCCCGACAAGACAGAGAACTCTTCTTTCCTCCCTCCTCCCTGGCACACGGACACTCCTGTCCTGGCTGGGGTGCATCCCCGGGCTGCGGGGCTGGGGGCGGATGGCTGTTATGCCCTGAAGGACAGACAGCCTTAATGCCCTGAAGGACAGACAGCCTTAATCCCCGTCTGGAGAGCGCTGCCGCTGTCCCCGGCACAGCCGCTGCCACGGAGATCCCTTCTTAGCACCGGGCAGAGAGGGAGCAGGGACAAGGCCGGGGAGATTGTGCTGAGCTGAACCAGCCCCGGCTTCCCTGTGCCACGGCCTCAACCTCCCACAGCAAAGAATTCATCCCCAATATCCCATCCAGCCCTGCTCTTTGTCAGTTTGAAGCCATTCCCTGTGTCCTGTCCCTCCATCCCTTGTCCCTCCCCAGCTCTCCTGGAGCCCCTTTAGGCACTGGGAGCGGCTCTGAGCTCTCCCTGGAGCTTTTTCATCCCCATCACTCCTGCCCTGCCGCGCTCCCCGCCTGCCCTTGAACTTTAAGAAGCGATTTCAGCCCTGTCCGGAAGGCACCGAGCGGCTGCGGCCGAGCACGGGACACCCGCGACACCCTCGGGCACCGGCGGCTGCCATGAACACGGCTGCCCTTTAAATAAAACACGGAACTGAAGCTGAACCGGCCCCGCCGACTCACCCGGAGGAGCCGGCGGCAGCTCCCGGCCCCGCAGCCTCCGAGAGCCCCGGCCGAGCCTCCGAGCCGCCTCCGCAGCCCCTGACGAAACTCTGCCGGAATCCTCCGGCCCCGGCGGGGAGGAGGCACTGTCAGAAGCAAAGTTCTGACAAGTTTCCTCGGGGCCACGGAGGCTGCGAGGGCGCGGGGAGGACACGCCTCGGTCAGGAGCGGCGTGTCCCGCATCCTCCCGCCGTGTCCCGCACCCTCCCGCCGTGTCCCGTGTCCTCGGCCGCAGGGACCCTGCCAGGGCTCGGGGTGCCCTCTCTCCGCCCAGGGACCCCAGCAGCTCCCGGCTGCGAGCCAGCCCTGCCCGAGCCGGGCTCAGCAAAGCCGGGCTCAGCAGAGCCGGGAGCTCTGGATGCGGCCCCGGGATGGGGCCCGCGGGCTGCGCCTCCAGCTGTGCCTCCAGCTGTGGCTCCGGCGGAGCCCCGGGGGCTCTCTCCTTCCTTCCAGCTGCAGCAGGGGCTGCAGGGAGCAGCCCAGCCGTTCCCGGCCCCCCCGGGCACAGCTGGGGCACATCTGGCCCGCGGGCACCGCTGGAGCGGCGCCTTCACCCCGCGCTGCCCACCTGTAGGGAGAGCCCGGCCGGCGCCTCCTCGGCCGGCGCTGGGCGGCTCCGGTCCCGATCCCGGTTCTGGTCCCGATCTCGGTCCTGCTCCCGGTCCCAGTCCCGATCCAGCCCGGCCCGGCCCCGCCGGACAAAAGCGCGGCCCGCGGCGCCAGGGGGCGTGGCCTCCCCTTATTAGCATACCCGCCGCACTCCGCCAATCCGCGCGCGGAGCGAGAGGTCGTCAGCATAAACCCCGCCCATCTTTTATTTGCATATCCCGCCGCTGACGGCCAATCAGAGCCGCGGCTGAGGGAACCTCATTGGCATAATTTATGCAGCGCGGGCACCCCCTGGCGGGGCGCTGCCCATTCCCGGAATTGGGATTGGGACGGGATGGGATGGGATCCATGGGATGGCCGATCCCAGAGATCCTTGGCAGGGATTGAGATGAGAAGGGGGAAGGGATGGGGTGGGAATGAGGAGCGATTGACATGGGAAAGAATGAGGTGGGATGGAATGAAATGGGGATAGGACTGGGCATGGGATAGGATGGGAATAAGGGCTGGATGGATCAAGGATGGGATGGAATGGGGCTGACATTGAGCATCCCCTCACCACCACCCCTACTTCACTCCCACCCACCCTGCCAACCCTGGGAAGGTCCCAGGATATTAAGGAAAATATCCTATCACCCCTTCCCCTTCCTAGCCCTCATCCCAGCCCCAAAGCACCCCCCAAGCACAGCCTTTTTTCTACCCTGATAGATTTATTGAAAAATTAAAAGCACAAGCTCTGTATATATAAATACAACGACATTGCCAGCGATTTACAAGGCCTCGGGTTGCTCTCTCTGCATCCCCACCCGTGGCTGGCACCACCCACCTGGGCACCTTGGGGACCGCCCAAAGGAGCAGCAACCCCCCAAAACTCCCTGCAGCCTGAGCCACGGGCCCACCTTGCTCTGTGTGTGGCACTCAAATGACAGCGGGGACACCCAGACCGAGCCGTCCTCCTGCCCCGCTCCCAGCCTGGCCGAGGGGGAGACGCCATTCCCTACCCCAGAGAGGACAGGGATGGAAACTTTGAGGGATGTGCCCGTTCTCAGCCTGCCCTAGGCAGGCAGCGAGCCTGGGGACATTTGGGGACAAGCCGGGGGTGCGTGCGCGTGCGGGGCCGTGGGACGCTGCTGTCCCACCTCGCTGCCATCCTCCATCCCCATCTCAGCGCTGCCCAAAGCCTGCCCCTAAAGGGCCACGTTGAACTCTGTGACCAAGAAATCGATGTAGTCCTTCTCCTTCAGCTTGAAGGCCTCGGCGATGATGCGGGCGGCCTCGCGGTGCTCCTTGCCCCGCAGCCCCGTGCCGTTCACCTCCAGGATGACGTGTCCCACCTTCAGCTTGCCGCAGTTGTGTGCCGAGCCACCCCGCTGTGGGACAGAGAGGGGTCAGGTCACGCATCAAACAGGGGGGAAAAACTGCATCCCACCTTTCCCAGGGGGGAAAAACTGCATCCCACCTTTCCCAGGGGGGAAAAAACTGCATCCCACCTTTCCCAGGGGGGAAAACTGCATCCCACCTTTCCCAGGGGGGAAAACTGCATCCCACCTTTCCCAGGGGGGAGAAATGATGTGTCCCACCTTCAGCTTCCCGCAGTTGTGTGTGCCGAGCCACCCCGCTGCGGGACAGAGAGAGGTCAGATCACGCTCCCACCACTCCCTGCATCAAGCAGGGGGAAAAAATTGGAAGATATTTCATATCTGACAGGATGGATGTGAAATTCACTTTTTGGAGAGAGAGGATGAATTTGGCTTCCCCCCTGCTTGCTCCTCGAGCGTGATGCCAGCTGGGATGGCCAAGAATAACCAAGGCAGAGTTGGCTCTGCTTTTTTTTTGCTGTAAATAACTTGAATTTTGCCCCAAGTAAACAGCAAGCAGGGAGACAGATCCAGAGGGCTCAGTCTCCTGGCTCCCATCCACCATTCCCCCTCCTCAATCCTCTGTCTGGCAGTTTCCAGACATCTGGAGACAGCAGCCAAGCTTTCAGGGCTGCCCTGATCCCCTTGGAGATGTCTGGAGCACACAGCTGGCTCCCAGGAGGTGTGTTCTGGGATGGGATCATCCACGGGACACAGACACCATCCTCAGCTTGGCAGAACGGTGCCTGGGGAGCTGCAGGGCTGTAGGGGGGCACAAAATCCCCAAAATCCCCCTGGCCACAGCTCCAGGGCTTTCCCCAGCCTGCCCAGGGAGGAGAGGGGTGGGATGGGGCAGGGATGGAATGGGATGGGATCTGGAATGGGATTGGGATGGGATCCATGGGATGGGCTGGGATGGGATGGGGAAGGGATGGGATGGGATGTGATCAGGGATGGGATCTGGAATGGGATTGGGATAGGATTGGATGGGGCAGGGATGGAATGGGACTCATGGGATGAGATGGAATTCATGGGATGGGCTGGGCTGGGATCTGGGATGTGCTGGGATGTGCACGGAGCTGTCCTGTCCCAGCTGCCCTACCTGGATGGTGACGATGCGGGGCAGCGGCTGCCGCGTGTTGGCGCCGCCCTCGATGGCGATGCCCAAGGTGGGAGCGCTCTTGGACACCCGGATCAGACACGACGTGGGCTCCAGGAGCCCTGGCTGTGGGGACAGATGGCAGCACTGCCAAGGGGGCCTGGACACCGTGTGCCAGCCGTGCTCCCTCGGCCAGGGCCCCACAGCAGACAGGAACACGCTGGCTGCCACCACAGAGGGACAGACAGAGCCCTGCAGTTGCTTTCTGACTTCTGATCTAAAATCCCAACTCTGGGCAGCTCTGGAAGGGTTTGGGAAGGAGCAGAGCAGCTTTCTGTCTGCCTGCCCATGTCCCTCAGCCTCACCACCACCAGAAACCCTCTGAGTTATGTCTGACACCCGCTGCTACCTTCTCCTTTGGGCGACAGGTGACTTCACTCATGTGTCTCTTTAGAGCCAGGAATTCTCCCATGCTCCAGGGTACCTGCTGGCTGAGCTGGGAGGGATGGGATTTACCCAGGAATCAGCCCTACAGTGCCCCTCTCAGCCACTCCTGACCCCTTTCCCCACAGCTCAGCCCCCAGAGAACTGACTGCCTGCAGCAGAGAGGAGAACACCCCAGCTCAGCACGGACCAGCGGCTGCTGCCTGTGGGCAGAGGGAGTGGAACGGGCTGGCCAAGGCAGTGGTGCCCCCTCCCACACAGAGCAGCACCCCAGGCCCCCCCTCACCGGCTTGGAGGCCCCTTCTGCCGCCCCCTCGCTCCTGGTGGCCTCCTTGGGGCTGCGGCTCTTCCCGGGGCCTGGCTGCCGGCTCCTGTCCTTGCCGCTCGTCTCCAGCTCCCCGATGTCCACCCCGCTGTCCTCGCTGAGGGTCTGCCCGCTGTCCGACAGCTGGGAGAGCGTGGAGGCTGGGGAGAGACTGCTGTGAGTGGGGGCAGCACCAGGGCCAGGCCAGGGGCGAGGGCAGCTCCTGCTCCCAGGGCAGGGCAGCTCCCCTGGGATTCACACCGGGGCTGCAGAGCAAGGAGCCCAAGCACAGCCCTGCAGAACCATGGAATTGCTTAGGTGGGAAAAGAACTCTCAGCTCATCGATCATGGCACTTCAAAGCCATGTCCCCAAGTGCCACATCTACATGGCTTTTATGTTGCAGTGTGATGCTGTTTCCTGTTTCACCTATCCCAGACCCCAGGTGTGCCAACCTCTCCTTTCCCCTCCCTGTGTCCCCGGGCTTAAAAGGAGACAGGACCATGCGGGCTGGGTTCTGTTGGGAGCTGTTACAAGATTCAGAGGTCTGTCATCCTGGAATAAACCCTGGATTAAAACTCTATGGCAGAATCCTCTCCTTTTTCTCTTCACCATCACCTGAATCTTTTCCACCAGAGGTAAACTGAGTTCCTACCATGCCTGGATTTGTTCTGGGTGCCCAGCTGCAGCACCCAAAGGTGTCTCTGAGGTGAAAACACCACAGCTGCCGCCTTTGGCCCAGCAGCAAGGGCCAGACGAGGCCAGGCACGTCCCACCCGGAAATATTTGGATTAATATTCCATACTTTTAGGTTCTTTCAGGGATAGGATCTCCACCACTGCCCTGGGCAGCCTCTCCCCAGTGCCTGACTGCTCTTTCAGTGAAGGGATTTTCCCAATATCCAACGTGCAGCTCCCCTGGCACAGCTTGAGGCCATTCCCTCTTGTCCTGTCCCTGTTTTCTGGGAGAAAAGACTGACCCCAATCCCACTGCACCCCCCTGTCAGAAGAGCAGAGCTGTGCACAGGCAACATCTAGAGATAAGTGGCCCCAAACTCTGGTCTGGAATCCAACCCAGATCCCAAACTGGGATGAAGGGAGAGAGTGATGAATTCAGGGACCCTGCTGAAGGCCAGTTTATGCAGCCCATGCTCCACAACAGGGGCTGGGAGGAGACAGGGACCAAACCAAGTGAAGAGGTGCTGCCATGTAGGAGCTTTCTGCCCTTCGAGGATGAAGACCAAGTGTAGATGGACACTGGAAATGTCAGGAGCAGCGGCAGAGCTGCATTTAATGCACCCGCGGAGCTGCATTTAATGCACCCGCATCACCCTGCGGGCAAGGGGCCGACTGCAGTGACGGCGCTGCGCCACACGAGGGCGACATTGCCACTGGTGTCGCCGCCGCAGCGCGGGGGGGCGGGAACGCTCCGGGACCGCCGGGATTGCCCTGGACCGCTTCCCTCTCCATCCCTGAGAACCCCTGGATGATCCCCCTTCCCTCTCCATCCCTGAGAACCCCTGGATGATCCCCCTTCCCTCTCCATCCCTGAGAACCCCTGGATGATCCCCCTTCCCTCTCCATCCCTGAGAACCCCTGGATGATCCCCCTTCCCTCTCCATCCCTGAGAACCCCTGGATGATCCCCCTTCCCTCTCCATCCCTGAGAACCCCTGGATGGTCCCCCTTCCCTCTCCATCCCTGAGAACCCCTGGATGATCCCCCTTCCCTCTCCATCCCTGAGAACCCCTGGATCATCCCCCTTCCCTCTCCATCCCTGAGAACCCCTGGATCATCCCCCTTCCCTCTCCATCCCTGAGATCCCC